CAGTCAAAGCGCGTAACATATCCTCTAACGTCTGTATGGTCCGCTCCGTTTGTCCGTCAGTCTCGGGATGGTAGGCTGAACTGAAGGCTAACTTCGTACCCATTGCCTCGTGTAAACTCTTCCAGAATCTACTGGTGAATCTGGGGTCTCTGTCTGACACAACCGTAACAGGTACTCCATGGAGTCGAACGATCCCACGGACATAAATTTCAGCCAACCGATCCAAAGACATACTCATCGATACTGGCAAGAAATGGGCAACCTTAGTCAATCTGTCGACCATGACCCAAATAGCGTCGTGATGTTCAGATGACCTTGGTAACCCCGTAACGAAATCCATCGCAACCTCCTCCCACTTCCACCTCGGAATCGGCAGTGGTCGTAGAAGGCCTATCGGACTCTTATGCTCGGCTTTGACTTGCTGATAGGTCAAACATCTTCTTACAAAGTCGGCAACATCTTTCTTCAATCCTTTCCACCAAAACGACCCTTTCAGGTCATGGTACGTTTTTGTGCTTCCTGGATGGGCTAGATAGGGTGCAGTATGAGCTTCAGATAAAATCTCCTTCCTCAATGCTTCGACTTTCGGCACCACAATCCTGCCACGAAACTCCAAGGCCCCATCAGTGCCTCAGTGAAAACCCTCGACGCCTCCGGCACGAACCTTAGCATCAATCGTACGAATAAACTCATCTGAAGCCTGCTCTTGCCGGATTTTCTCCCTCAGCGTCGGCTGAACTTGCATGGAATTTACACTCCCCAAACTGGCTATAGGAAGTGCATCAACTAGCTGGATCTGCATCCGGGCGAACTCATGAATCAACCGACTCTGTTGAGTAACAACGCACGTCAAGTCGCCCTTTACCTTGCGGCTTAGGGCATCAGCAACAACATTTGCCTTTCCCGGATGGTACTGGATCGTACAGTCGTAATCCTTGACGAGTTCTAACCAACGGCGCTGCCTCATGTTGAGCTCCTTCTGGGTAAAGATGTATTGCAAGCTCTTATGATCGGTAAAGATTTCACATTGACCGCCGTATAGATAGTGTCGCCAAATCTTGAGGGCATGAACAACTGCAGCCAACTCCAAGTCGTGCGTCGGATAGTTCTGTTCATGTATTTTAAGCTGGCGTGACGCATAAGCAACGACCTGACCATCTTGCATAAGTACACATCCCAAACCCTGCCTCGAGGCATCACTATAGATGGTGAAGCTCCGAGAAGGATCGGGTATAGTCAACACCGGTGCCGTCGTAAGCCTCCTTTTCAGCTCCTGAAAACTCGACTCACAACGGTCTGTCCACTCGAACTTTACAGACTTCCTCGTCAGTTGAGACAAAGGGAGTGCAATCTTCGAGAATCCCTCGATAAATCGACGATAATAACCTGCAAGACCGAGGAAACTACGAACCTCGGATGGATTCTTTGGTGCTGACCAATTCTAGACTGCAGCAATTTTGGAGGGATCAACTTCAATACCTGCTGAAGTAATAATGTGGCCAAGAAAAGCCACTCGCTGAAGCCAAAATTCGCACTTGGAGAACTTTGTATATAACTTCTCTCGTCTAAGGGTCGAAAGAACGGCCCTCAGGTGCTCCTCATGCTCCTCCTGGCTTTTGGAATAAATAAGAATATCATCGATAAAAACAATAACGAACTGGTCGAGAAAAGGATGAAATACACGGTTCATCAAGTCCATGAATACTGTCGGGGCATTACTGAGGCCAAACGGCATAACCACGAACTCGAAGTGACTGTATCTCGTACGAAAAGCTGTCTTGGGTATGTCTGACTCCTTGATTTTCAGCTGATGGTAGCCTAAACGCAAATTGATCTTAGAAAACACGCAGGCACCCCTCAACTGATCAAATAAATCATCGATCCTGGGAAGTGGATATTTATTCTTGATCGTCAACCGGTTAAGATCCCGGTAGTCGATACACATACGCATGGATCCATCCTTCTTTTTGACAAAAAGGACTGGTGCTTCCCAAGGGGAAACGCTCGGTCGTATAAAACCGAGATTCAGCAACTCTTGAATTTGGGTCTTTAATTCCTGCAATTCTTTAGGCGCCATTCTGTATGGTGCCTTTGAAACGGGTCCGGCTCCAGGGATAAGACCAATAGAAAATTCCACCTCTCGGCAAGGCGGACCTCCGGGAAGCTGGTCTGGAAACACGTCCACAAACTCACGAACGATAGGAATGTCATGAGGTGAACGTGCCTTTGACTCATCTCCAACGAGGCTCACAAGATAACCCTGGCAATTACCCCGTCGAAGAATCTTTCTGGCTTTCGCCATAGAAATAATATATGGTAGAGTACGAGTCCTGGAGCCGTAATAAATGATCTGATCATCTCCCGGAAGATAAAGAGTAATCTCCCGGTCATAACATCGAATATCTGCGTGAAATCGAGTTAGCCAATCCATACCGAGTATGAGGTCAAAATCCCTCATCTCGATAACATAAGTATCAGTAAACAGAATACGGCCGCCGATGGAAAGGCTGAGATCGGTGGCTCTAGCGTCAGTCACTATCTTTCTTCCCGAGGCTAAACTCACCTTGAGAGGATCAACAGCGGTAGTGGAACGAACCCCAATAGCTTTGAGACATCGACGTGATATAAAAGAATGGGTCGCTCCGGTATCAAATAAGGCATAGACAGACACATCATTAAGAATAATCATCCCGGACATGGTACCTGGGTGCTGGTCGGCCTCCCTATGGTAAACTGCAAAAACGCGAGCCTGCTGTCTGCCGCGTTGCTGTTGTTGTGGTCGTGGTGGTTGCTGCCTGGGCTGCTGTTGTTGAAGTTGCTGTTGTTGAGGTTGCTGTGGCTGTTGACGTTGTTGCGGTTGTTGTTGCAATCGTTCTGGACAGTTATTGCTGAAGTGACCTGGCTGGCGGCAAAAGAAACAAACATTCTGGCCCACAAGGCATTCTCCACGATGGTGTTTCCCGCAGGTTGGGCATTCTGGATATTGTCTGGGACGGGTCCTTCGGTCATCAAGAGTGTTTCTGTACTTCCTCTTCTTCTGGTTCTTTGACGGTTGGGCAACTTTAGGCTGGGCTGATGGCTGAGCAACTGGCTGGGCTGGTGTCTGGATGGCT